CAAATAGAAGCAACTAATGGATCTAAAAAAGGATCTTAAATATCTAGTATACTTAAGAAGTGAATACAAATTCAGTAAACTATTGTATAACGAAGAGAAAGTAAAGAAAAAGCTAAAGTATATATTAACTGAATATCTTGATCCAGCAATAAAAACACAATTTGAAAACATAGAAACAACTAGAATATATCAGCGAAACATCGACTTGATTAAACAAGCAAGTCTTATACAAGAAGCACTAAATTATATTACAACTGTAAAGCCGCCACCAAGTGCAATTCTTCGAACATACAGAAATACAATATACGAATTACATTATATTCAAAAGGGGTACAATAGAAGATATTTTAATACAGACCCACCAGTATCTTTAGAATCGCCACCGAATATTAGAATATAATGACTGAAGAACAAATACCTTATAGACGATTTAATTATCAATGGGACCCAACCAATTAAATACACCTTACCCATCAGATGAATATTATGAAAAAGATTTATTTAACACAGAAGATATACTTGTACAACAACAGACACATGACATAAAACTGGATATTCAAGCAACATTGGAAACACTAATAAATAGAATTAACCCCACTAACAACCACAGGTTAGGATTAGTGATAGTATTGTTACAAGCAGCAGCTGAAGCAGCTGACTATATTACACAACCAGAAAGAGTACCAAGATCTTTCTCTGGAAAATCAGTATTACAGCAAGAAAAAACTGCGTTACAAATATCAGACTATTACAGCTACTTTGAATCAACATTAAAAGGAATTTGTAACCACTTTGATACCCCGAACGAAAATAATAACTATATTCCAAACCCAATAGGACGAATACTACATAAAACATTATTTAGCATAAACACTTTATTAATTACTGAAGGAGCATTTGTAGAAGTTGAGCAAAGAGAACACATTCTCTCAGAACATTTAGACCGAAGACAATTCTTAACACCTCGAGTGTATAGACACAACAAAGAAAAATCAACACAAACTG